CTCCAAAGTTGTCTCAAATTTAAGTCTTAAAAATTGTCACGACAGGCCTTCGCTTGATTGAAATTTAATTCCCGTAAAACTCTGAAAAATAAAGAGATCCGATCGAACGGATTGTGGTTTTAGTATAGGTACATGAATGTCTTACAACACACATGAAATGAGCTAAATCTGTGTCTCAAGCAAAATCGACCGGACCGCTCTTACAGAGACACTCTCTTAACACCTTTATCTGCATAACTGCTACGATCGGAAACCTGTTGGTTCTCGTGACAATATGGCGAAGCCCACATCCGCATTCTCCTTCGAACACGTTGCTGTTTAGCCTTGCTTTGTCAGATCTGTGTGTTGGAATAGTATCTGAGCCACTTAACGTGGGATTCCACGCAGCACTTTTCAAGTTATCACTCATTACCTCCTGTACACTAGTGAATCTAAGGACTCTAATATCGACAATTCTAACAGTAGCCACAGTGTTAACTGTAACAGCAATGAGCGTTGATCGCTATCTAGCGATATATCTTCACCTGAGATACGCAGAAGTGGTTACAGCAGAGAAAGCAAGGAAGGTCCTTTATGTGTTTGGCTGATTAGCAGCGTGCCCTCAATCTTGATGGTTTTTAATCGAATGGCTAGCTTTTTTGTTGGGCCACTTACGATAGCAGTTTGCCTTGTGATTATCTAGTTTCGTTTGCTTGGATCAAGATTTACCAAGTTGTACGACATCACCAAGCTCAGTTTCAAGATCAGATGGCTGTTGCTTCGCAATCATTTAACATGGCGAGATTCAGAAAATCTGCCATAAACACTATGCTCGTGTTAGCCATCGTTCTGTTGTGCTACATCCCGTTTCTCGTTTCCAACATTTGTCTCACTGCCAGCTTAATTCCTGCAAATGTTCTCTTTGTCGAGATCACCTATGTATTTGTGCTCTTGAATTCTTCACTAAATCCATTCGTGTATTTTTGGCGTCAGCGTGATCTTCGTGCACAAGCTAAACAACTCGCGATGAGGTTTTGCTATCAAACACAATTACAGTGAGAGCTCTGCTAACAGTAACATGGCTTTATTCAAAAGTGTTGTAAGTTTAAGATAATCAAACACATAATCTTTGCAAAACTCACTTACAAAGTCCGTCTTTTTACTGCAGAAAATAAGTTCAGTTCCTATTGTTGTCCTTGCGCATGCAGATTAATTCACAGCACGATTTCGATTTTTCAGCAGCTCTTACTGTAGCTACCTTTCAATTTGTGCAATGGCGAGTCCGGAAAATAATTCACGATTGTGCGGCATACAGTAAACAAAAAATAAATGAGAGGGTCTAGTTGGGGGTGCTGCACGTACTCTAAATAATCGATCTGCTAAATTTATAGCGATTGTTCAGCTGGTAGCTAATAACATCTCTGCTATCGGTAAATTACGCACACTCAGATTTCAGACTCGCCATTTTTCAGCGGACTGATATAATTTTGATCAATTCTCGGCTTTCAAGTAGCCCGGCGACCCACACTTTTTATTGTGGAATTGTCCAATACAAGTGTGTACCTAAACGTTAAAAAAGTTAGAAAATTGTTTCAGAGCCATAGTAGATTTTCTAGCATTCAAGGTGATTTTTAATGACGGTGACTCTTAAATACGATTATTTGGGTCACGTTTTTAATTAACAACCTAAATGCGTGCTTCAATAGGGAATTTGGATGTAACTGCATTAACTAAGAACTTTGAAAGAAAAAAAGAAAAAATATATATCTTCTGTTAATGAAACCAGCGACCCTTTTACTCTATCACTCTATTGATGCCACTCGGATACGTTGTTGATTGAAATAGTTTCCGAGAAAGGAAAAAGGCGAGACTGATAGATACACGAGCTTCACGCCGCGGGTAGAATTTAAACGTTTCTCAAGCCAGTCTCCAGCCATTATGGCAACACTGGGACATCTTATCGTAAGGGTAATAATTAAAAAAGCAAGAATTCATAATAGCTAACTACACTTTGTAAATTGCTCCGTTCTCTCGGTATCCTTCCAAACTGAAAGGACTCAACGACACTCAGCTACTAAGTTGCGAAGAACAGAACATGGAAGAAATGAGAAAACGTTATTTGACAGGTAAAAGGGCGAAAGTGTGTTTTCATAAACAGTGATTGACGCGAAGAAACACCTGTCTATAATGAAACAAGGGCTTTTTGGCAGCGTGGGATCCAAAGCAAACCTCTTTCTGCATCTGTTAAAACCATCCTTCAAATATCTGAGAACAATCCATTGTGATTGATCGAGGCAATTGACAAAAACGTAGTACTGTCGTCGGTCGTTGATAACATGTAGTTGTTTTCTATAAGCTTAAAACGATGTCTTTTAACATGAACTCTATTGGTAGTGCTGAAGTCGGCGTTGATATCGAAAAGAATGCAAAGGCACATGATGATGTCAACAAAAAAGCAAACAACGTCAAAATGGAAAAAGTGGAAACGCTGAAGTGCTTTATGCTCGATACGACATTGCATGGAGCCCGCTTCGTGTTTGCCAAAAGTTTGCCGAGACGTTGCCTTTGGACTCTGATTCTTATCGGATCGTTTGCATTTTGTCAGTATCATACATACGAGTGTTGGATGCAGTTTCTCCAGCGGCCATTCAGCATAGGGATTACCTTGAAAAGCCCCAAAGAAAGCACGTTGACTTTCCCAGCAGTTACTCTGTGTAATGTTAACCCACAGAATGTTCAAACAGCCTTGCACCTTCAAGATGTACAAAGCAAGGAGGATGTGAAGCAAATAATTGATGATGTTAACAAATTGTTGCAGTTTTCGAAAGAGTCCATAAGCGAAGATATCCTGAAAAGATATCCCGAGTTGTTTGACCGTGACAAAATCGTTGCCCGGTGGACATTTAACAGCCATCGAATCGGGGAAATGCTACTTCCAAGTATCCCTCCAACATACACCTCCTGTTCATTCGACGGAGTGCTATGTGGGGCTGAGAACTTCAGCAGTTTTGCTAGTTCCTCTTTTGGCCAGTGTTACACCTTTAATTCAGGGCAGAATGGGAGCCAACTTTTGACAACTAGGATGCCTGGTAAAAACAATGGTTTGAAGCTTCGCCTGAATATACAACGTAATGGCTACGTAAAATATCCCAAGAATCCATATGCTGGAATTACCGTTCTTGTACACGACCAAAACAATTTTCCAGTTATGGAAGAGTATGGATTTTTTGTCGAGCCAGGAACTCACACATTTATCGCCGTTAAAATGAAAAAGGTGAGTAAAATATTTGTCCTTAAACAGTGTCTTTACTTGGTTGCTACATTTTGTTACTGTGGTGTAGTGATACAATGAATCGTTTAAGCAATTATGATAAGTATTGCATCAAAATGCAGGTGCAGAGGTTTTATTCCAAACATTTCTCGTGCAAAATGATACTGGCCATTCGGCTTAATGTTGTTAACATTACCAGAGAAAGCGACAATAGCGATGTTGAATACAGGCGTTTACTCGTATTAATTTTCGGTTCGAACGATGAACACTTTCAATCTTAAAATAGCCTGTGTTGGCCACAATTAAGAAGCGACTACTAATTAAGATTGGCCACTTATTAAGAAGCGGACCAGGATATCCGTGTTAACTATAACCCTGAGCCGGTTTTTGTGTTTGCAGATAACCAATTTGCCTGCACCATACGCAACCAATTGCACGCAAAGAAGACTAGATATGTTTAGCAGCAAGAAGTCCTATGCTTACTCCAAATCCGCTTGTCTCATGCAGTGTCGTAATGCCTATGTTGTCCGCAAATGTCATTGTACTTTAATGGAGTTTCACGGTAGGCCAACCGTCTTTTCTTAATCAATTCTGTCAACTCATATGCTTGAAGAACACGAAATCTACAATAAATTTTGGCTGATGCTATGCATTTGAAAGAAATACCTGTCTACCAGTTATTAATTTTTAACCTGGAATATTGCCAACAACAAGACTATTTATAATTCTCTTTTTCAAGTATTACAGAACAACTGCCATTAATTCATGCATTTTTGCCTGAAATTTTAATCTGATAGATCTCGAAAATTGGAATGCGGGTAATCAACTTTGCCTTAACAGTTCTAAAAACAACCAAACAAATAAACTTGCAAATTTGAAAATTGTTGTACATTAAAGTAGGTTATAAGGGAGTATACAACAGATTCGTTAAATTAAGAAATTAAAAAAAAAAGCTCTATTAAATATGGTATGGTGCATATATATTTTTTATTTTTCATGTTTATTCCCCATTTATCTCCTCTAGCAAAAGCTCAAGTTTGCGCTCCAAATGATACAGTGCTTTGTGTGTTTCCCACGCTTGGTAAGCGACATCTTACAGTATGTTATAGTTACTTACGGCTAATTATAGATGTCACTATAGTTATTCGATTTTTTTCTTTGTGTTTAAGAAGCTAACTTACGTGCTATTGTTATGAGCTGACTTTGTTTTCCTTTATTTATACTAATCATTCTAGTTAATCACACTATCATGGAGTTCTTGCTTTCGATGAGGGTGTTTATAGTTTAATTTTTTTAGCATTTGGCGGGGACAAACTATTAAATGGGAATATGAGCTGTATGTAGTTTTTACTTATACAGTGTACATGCATGAGCACTGTGCAAACGCACTTTGTATTAGTAACTGATATTTTGGAAATTATGCAAATGAAAGTGTAAAAAAAATAAGCCAGTTTCGAGTTCGCCATGACCGCTCAATAAAAGCACTGAAAGCGCATTTGCAAAGGGTTAGTCTCGACCTAGAAATATATTCACAAATACCGGCGGGAAGATGCCACAAATTTGAAAATTAAATAATACACTGAGCTTTAAACAGGTCATCTTCTCGCTGGAATTTGTGAAAATTTTACTTTAGGTCGAGGCGAACCCTGTGCAAATGCGTTCTCAGTGCTTTTAATCAGCGGTCATGGCGAACTCGAAACTGGACTACTTACATTTATAATAAAGTTTCCATATAACGCGCGCTCTGATTGGCTGAAAGAGCGTGCTTTATCAGAGAACAGAGCACGGGTTGATGACGGTAAATTGGCTTTCAATTGCTTCGGAATTTTGACAAATTTGGCCCAAATTAAACATCCCCTGTGATTCAGACAAACGCAATGGAAACGAGCTATTTGTCTGTAGTAGATATGGCTCACAGAGACCATTGTTAGCAACAGTAGTGTTCAGACTGTACTAAAATAAAAATTTTTGCTAGATTCCAGCCGACAAAACACGTAGCGAAATAAACAAATTCTCAACCTAAACAGTGCTTCATTATATTTGTTACGAAGGCAGAAATTATACTTAATAATTTAGAAGTAAAGCAACGACAGAAAACAACAACTGAACTGTCTCTGTTTACGATAGAAGCTTTATTTTTGTAAAAATGCTCAATTGCCCAAACAACACTTACATGTAGTGTAGTAACGCTCGTTCTCCGGTCATCTCAGCGAAGTGAACCGACGAGTGGTCAGTGCAAAGCTTGCCCCGATATTCTCTTCTGTGCCCGGAGTAGAACCAGTGGGAGCCGTTTAGTCTTTCTAACTTTTACGCTAGTTCGGGCAATCTTG